TGATCCCATCGCCGCTTTACCTGAATAAACTTGCGGATTGCAAAGTGATCTGCATAATCGTTGAGGTAATTGAGGACTTGCTGGTGGGTACCACAACACGGACGGGTTTGATCCATTTTCTGGTAATCCGGGAAGTTCATTAATTTCATTGGAAAGTTCGTTCTGCAATTCAATGTTGTAATTATCTATTTCATTCATCTATCATCAAGAATCGCTCATTATTCCCGGGATTTCCTGAAACACTCTCTTCCTTCGGTAAAAAAAAAATATTGCATTGACCCAATTTTTAAGAAAAAATATTGTAATATACACATAATTTTCGCTGGTGTATTGGTAATTAAAACTGACAAATATCATTCTCTGATCACAGAATGCCACATTTTCATCATTTTTTAATGGATAATTAATGAAAAACAATAGATTATTTTATCCTGGAATTACCTCAAGCTTTCGTACATGCTGGAGTGAATGGGCACCCCATGGTCATCCTGTCCAATTTTTTCCACGTAAACCCATGTGCCCCCGACCTTATCCGCTTGTTCGAAAATCGCGGGCTCGAAGCGCAGTAGATCCTCAGAAAGTTGTCTCACTGCGCACAATCCCGCGGCCCCAGCCCCCACGACACACACCCGCAATTTCCGCGTCGTCTCCGTCGCCATCGCCACCCACAACTTAGTAATTAAAAAAATCCCATTGAATGCGAAAGGGTGAATAAAAAAAGATCGGGTACGAGCCAACGAATCGTTCCGGAGGAAAAAAAGGGAGTCTGAGTGGTGAGACCCGCGAGGATCGACTGGAATTACCCGAAGGACGACACGATTTTATGTGTTCGGGTCACAGTCCGCCTCTGGGAAATTAAACGACCGCAGGAGCTGCTGTTGAACGAGAACTCCTTGTCCCTTATCTTCGATTCGTGGATTAATTCCCCAGATCCGGCCAAAACTCTCCTCCCCCTCCATCAACACCAACGAGATAATGACGTTAAAATTTATCAATAGATCACTCGGCGTTAAATGACTCGGGAAATGACGGCCATTAACTCGAGGTCAAGTATTGTAAATACAAATAATTCCGCTGGCGCCATTTGTTTTTTAAATCTAATTGAATTTGCTGAATGTGACGGTAAAATTAAAAAAATACAATTCAGTCAAAATCAATTCTCATTTTTTATGGAGCTCGAGTAGTTATGCTTGATAATTGTGGTGATAATTATGTTTAATAGAAAAAATGTAAAGGTTCAAAAGAATTTGATGAAGAAAATACGATTTTTTGTCTTTTTTGGTGAAAAAAAAACGCAAAAAAATAAATTATCATTCAATAAAAAATCAATAAAGCGTGACAACAGGATGAAACGAAAAAAAAATATAATAACACACTAGCATTAAAATATTTATTACTCTTCTCTTCGTAACATGATAATACCTCGAAATTAATAAGAAATTTATTGAAATAAATTGAATAATGTCGAACTTATAATTGTATCCAGTTCTGAGCAAGTTATTATAATATTCCATAACTCTATGTTACATTATAATTTCCCATTCATCCTCGAATCTCAGCAACTGAAGAACCAGAGAAACAATATCCCCCCGAACAAAATCAATCTCACTCTCTCCATTTTCACAATTTTCCTCACGCACAATTCATCAGTGATTAATAATAATTAATAATAATAACATGGTACACCATTGTGCTGAAAAAAAAGCACAAAGACGAATGAATCAGTTAATTCCCAATAACTCCATTCGTCCTGGCAAAACAGCAGAAAATATTAGATAAGCACAACAGCTCAACTAAGTCCTTTACAAAATTTTCAGCTGTACATTTCGGCTGAAATGATTTATGTACAAGAGTAACAATACAATAAACATTGTTCGATTTATCAAAGACCTCTGGGGTCTGTCTAACATTAATCAGCAGAATCCAATCTACTTTGATCCATCAAAAGAACAAAAAACTACTTTTCCTGAAGAGGAGAAATTTTCTTGTGTGAATGAATTATCTCCGTGAAGAGTAGTTTTTTCTCTGCGATTGCTTTGAGAAAAGGAAATAACAGCAACAGTCCTCCCCACGAGGATATAAATATACAAAACTAAAGTCTATGATAAGGGAAGAATTGACGAGACGACTCCATCGAGATTAATACAGAAAATTCAGTGGAATGGAGTAAACTTCAAATTAATTAGAGCATTCATTGCAGAGGTAACGCGATGAGAGTTTCAACTTCAGTTCCAATTGATTTTCGATATTTGGTTTGAAATTTTTAATGCCATCGGTGAAGTCACCGCAATAACCATTTCCTGTTTGATTATTTGCCAACGGAAATGGGAGAAAAATATATTTACTTCAAAACAGGATGGAAGAACGCTCGACATGGGTTTTTATCAAAACCATTACTTCCTAATTATTGAATCGAAGATTTCAACTGTTGAGGATTCGTTCAATTGGTCGATTATTTACACAAATTTATAGTTTTTTATACGTGGAATTCAGTGGAAGAGTGACAGTTCTCTCCAACTGCTCTACGCAGGAGATTCTAGATAATTTCATTGATTATGTGACGATATTTTCAGTAAAATCTATATTCCTGTACGATCATTCGAATTTACTTCAAATTTATATTGAATTTCGTATAAAATCGGCAGGTTTGCGGATCAATTTCTCACCGAGAGAATAAGTTTCTTGATTTTCACAAAAAAATTTTCATTCTCTCGTCGAAACTTTCTATTTTTCTCGAAAAAAAAATTTGTTGATTCCAGAAAACATTTTCTGGACTCAACAATCAATTTTCTGGAATGAAGAACATACAAAACAAATTTTTGCGAATCTGAATAAATGTTTTCTATATTTAAGAAAAATTCTAGAATTGTAAAAATTTCTAAAATCCATAAATTTCGTTGGTAGTATCGAAAAATCGCTGAGAATCAAAAAACTTTTTCTCAATTGCAATGAAATTGTTTTCGATGTTTGAGATAATGTAAAGTACATGCCATTATGTAATAACTACAAAAACATTGAATTGGGCGGATTTCCGACGTGATTTTTTGTAATTTGTACAAATATACTTGCCGGGTAATTGATTATTCCAATAATTCCACGGATCTACGGATCTAACGATACATCTATACAAATAAACTGTCGAGAACATCCTCGAAGAAAGAAATATTGGAGGCCATCAAAGGAAAAATCTTTGATGCAGGGAGGAACGACGTGACGTAGATTGGAGCGAGTCCTGTGGAGCAAAATATTGAATATCAGTCACGATATCGGTTGATTGTTTTTTAGCCCTCGCTTACTGAGGAGAGGGAACTTCTTGTTGAACCAGCTGTGTGATGAGTCAAGTCTGGAAGGTCTGAGGGAAGACACAGGGGCATTGCACTTGGACCAAATATCGCCTCTTGTTCCTCCAGCTGTTGAGCAAATTGCTCCTCCAATCGCTGAAAAATTATTTGAAATTGCAATTTTTTTTTATTATGAAAATGTATTTTTGGACGTAACAAATAATTTTTTTCAACACAATAAAAATTAAATTGAGTTTTTTTATATTCGATGAGAAATTCTTCACTAGTAAATGAATAATTTAAATTGTTTAAACTCTCGAAAACATCACCTGATGACTAACCTTCAATTTTCCACCTCCTCAATAAAATAAACCGAAAATTCTCGTCAAGTTACCACATGGGAACATTTAAAGCGTTGGATCCACGATCCCACATCTACCACAAGACACAAGGAATTACCTGAGAACATCAAACTACGATTCCCCCCACCCCCCTAGACACCACTACTCCCTCATTGATTTATTTCCACAAATGGAAGTAATTAATTAATGTGTTCGTGTTCGTGTAATGATGGGACAATGACAAAAGCGAGAGAAACCCTGAAAATCCCACGAATAAACGAAAAAAAAAACAATGATTTTCAGAGAATTGATGGAACACTGAGATGCATGTATGAAAAAATCAATAGAGCAATTGAATCGCCAGGATTTTCCACAAAAATTCTGTTAATTCTATCGGGAATTCATAAACTACGGTAAGCGCATTTATGTCGAGACTAGTTTTTAGCGTATATCTCGGAATTGAAGGGGGATACCGAAATTTTTTATCATACATTATTCATAGATAAAAGTAACCGCTACAAAAAATATAATTATGAAAATATCAATACTTTCCTTCAATCTCGAGATATTCGGGAAAAACGCATCGCGAGAAAATGCACGGAGATCTAAATTAAATGAAATTCATGAGTGATTTTTTCAACCACAGAGGAAAAATCGAAGAAAAAATCAAAAAATTAAAAGTCTATTCCCTTTATCTCATTAACTATCCCGTAGAATGCCATCAGAATTTTCATAAAAAATCTTTTTCTATTGAAGAATTTAATGGACGTGAGATGGAGACGACTATCTACGAGAGGATGGAAAAACGATACTGGATGGTCTCGAAAGGGTACTGCTGGCGACAGAGCCAGAATCAGAACCACCATGAAGGGACACCCGAGGGATGCTAATAGGAACTGGGGAATTTGGAGTGGATCTTGCGAGTCTCGGTGACAGTATCCATTTATCAGACACGGTCATTCTGTAATCGAGTGTTGCTAGAGAAATACGAGATAGACGAGATGGTAAATAATCCTTGTAGCGCGCCTCCAATGCTTCCATTTCACTCGCTAGCTCCGCCTCTAATTTCTACAACAAGTACTTCAATTACTCAACAGCTCCATCAAAATATCCAGAGCATTTATTCACCTCAAAATAATTTCAATTCCATCCAATAATTAATTAAAACCCATTGATTCCAAATCATTGATTTCCTGTCTGTATTTCCTATTCAACTCGACATAAATCTAAAAAATGTCAGAAATTTTCTACTCTCCCCATTTTTTAAGTCAGAAATAAATAAATAAATGAATAATTGTGTGTGTATTTCCCGCTATAAACATAACTGGATATAAACGTAAATCCTGAAGATTTGGATGATGATAAATAAATACCTGTTTACGAGGTTTCAAATGAGCCTTCCACTCCTTGAGCTCCTTGCTGTAGGCTTCCTCCTGCTCCTTGAGCTTCATCGTCTCGTACTCCATGAGCATTTTTCTCTTTTCATTCTGGAGTTGCTCAAGCTCCTTAATAGTAGCATCACTCTGTGCCCTGACTTCCTCCAGCTGTCTGCTGTGTTTCAATTCAAACCTCTGCTGTTCAGCCCTGTACCTCTTCTTCTCGTCCTCCTGAAACTTCTTGAGTTTCTCCCTTTCAGCATCAGGAGCAGAAATGAGTACATTCAACGTTGAAATTCTCATGGACTCCCTGAACATAGCCTCCCTTGCCTTCATCTCATTCCTAATCCTCTTGGGTAAATTTCTCCTCTCAACAGTCTGCCTCTTGATCAACTCCTCCTCTTTCCTGAGGTTCATCCTTTTCATCTGCTCGAGCTCCTTCTCATGCCTGATGAGCATCTGGTGTCTCTGCAGAAAGAAAATATCCTTGAGCTGTCTCTTGAGGAGCTGCTGCCTCTCGTGAATCTGTCTCTCCTCCTGCTCCCAGATAGCAGACTCCCTTGCCCTCATGAGCTGCTGCTTCTGCTGTAAGAACTGTCGCTCCATAAGTGCAATCTTCTCCCTGTGAGAATCAGAGAGTCTCCTCAGAGATGTCTCATGATTCTCATTGAGCTTCTCCATAAATAACTTTTCCCTCTCCTCGTGCTCCCCCTCGAGCTTCTCCTTTCTCGCCTTAAAAGCACTCTTCCTCTTCTCCTTGGGCATGAGATCCACCTCCTGCTTCAACAGCCTCAACTCCTGCTTCAATCCCTCCCTGAATTGCTTCAACTCCCTCTCCTGTTCGCCCCTTATTTTCTTGGAAGCCAATCTGAGATCAGCCTCCTGTTGGGCCTCAGCCCTCTCGATCTGCTGTCTCTGTTGTCTACCAAGACCATCGAGATCCCCCTCAGCTGTTCTCTCCAGCCCCTGTCTCTCCTGCTCGAACTTCTTCTCCTGCTGGTCCTTCATGAACTGCGCCTTCTGCGTCAAATCCTGAAACTGCTTCTGCTCCATCTTCTGAAGCATCTTCAGCTCCCTCAGCTCCTGCTTCCTGAATATCTGATCATCATAAACACGACCATTCTCGTCATCCCCATAAATCACTTTGGAGGTCGTCGTTGTCACAACAACTCCATCGATCTCAAATTTTCTGGTGCGCTTTCTCGTTTTCTTCTTCAGATTTATCATCTGAATGTCCTCTTTAGTTCGATGAGTCCTGGGAACTTCCCTCGTGTAATCAGGTTTTCTCCTCAGCACCACCTCGTCATCGACCTCAGCGGGTCGACTACCCACGTGATTTTCTTTATTGGAGCCCCTGCTGTCCTGACTGATGGTCGTAGATATGGATTCAGCATCAGACCTGTCGATGCTCTTATTCGGGGTATGAGATCTCGTGGAGCCTGAGTCACTGTGAGACCTTGATCCCTCGTAACTATCCGATACCCTCTTCTCTTTTTTAATCTCCCTGCTCTTGGCTTGATTATCCCTCCTCACCTGGCCATTCATCCTCTTAGCGACGAGGATGTCGTCGACGTCTGTAGCCTCGACAGTCGTTCCTTTGACGATCATTCTTGTCTCGTCTCCACTATCACTCTTGGAGCTCAGTCTCTCGCAGCTGAGATCACTGTGGGACGAGCCTGATCTCACGACACTCCTCTTGCTCATCATCGATGAGTCCTTCACCTGCTCCCTCTCATCACCAACTGTCACCACTGACACATGACTCGTATCTGCCAGTTCATCCACTATGGGAGTCACTATTACCACCTCTGATTCATCCAACTTCTTTCCAATGCACTTGGGACTGTCTGTGATAACAATTGGCTGCTCCTGGGGTGTGTACTCCAAGGAGTCGAGACTCGTGAAACCATCGTCGTCAGTGGATGACTCATTCACTTGAGTTTTATTCGTCTCATTTGCCACTATCACCACCTCTGACGTTGGGGATGTCCTCCTCGGAGGTGGGGTAGATGCTGCATCGATCAGCACTGGAGGATGAGTCGTCACGACTGTCACTTGACTGATGTTCGAGGCCAGACTGTTGGAGGGGTCGGGAGAGTCGGAAGTTATTCGAACTGTCGTCGATGACGAACGCTGATCCACCTCTGGAGTTTTTGTTATCACCACGACATCATTGTCACGGGATTTGCTGCGACTTCTCAAGGGTGTTGATGTTATCACTGAGACGTTCAGAGGTCTTGAACTTCTGTCCACTGTGTCCTGGACTGCCGGGACAAAATCTAGGGAATCACCACGGGAGGAATCCACACTTCTGCTCTTCGTTATTTCAGTCTTCGAGGGGTACGATTGAATGTTCTCGGTGGAGAGCGATTTCAGGGGCTTCTCGGTGGGCTTTTTCGCATCCGGAAAATTCTCAGGAGCCATTGATATTCGTTTCTCAAGGACTGCATTCAACTTCTCCTCGACTGAGCGACGCTTTGACTCCAGGGATTTGCGGTCTGGCTGCTTCTCCATGCGAGGACGATCCGCTGATCTGTAGGTTCAGAGAATAGTATTAAGAGGACGAGGAAAAACTGAAAAGTTGCATTAAAAAAAAAAATGTGTTTGCAAATTATTCATGTCATTTTTCTATCATTATGCAATAAATTGGTAATAAAATTAATTTTGACGCACCCCTTCTTTTCCTCGAGCGAGGTTTGCTTATGATAACTCGACTTTTTGTCGTCGCAAGCCTCAGGTTTTGGTGGTGCAGACTTCCTCTTCTCCTCCAGGCTCATCTGGTTCTTGATCATTTTATTAACATCAGTGGATTTCGGCCTGATCGGTACATTTTCAGAGATTTTCACCTCATCCTGAGCTTTCTCTGGTGATTTTTTAGGACTTGAAGACAACGTTGTGGGGGGCATATGATTCTCAGGCGTCTGGGGCTTCTCCAAGGGCTCCTCGTCCCTCGGTGAAGACGCGATTTCCATGGCACTGGGCTTTTCCTCTTCATTTTTACTGCTCTGACGAACAGCTGGAGGTGGTGGGGCTGGACCTTTCTCCCGGGAGCCACGTCGTTCACTTGTGTCGCTCGATGGTGGAGGTTTTGGTGCCTGGAAATATTTTTTTTAATACGCGAAAAAAATTCAGCAGGAAAAAGATTAAATTAGACAACTTGAATTTTCAGATCTATTGAAAATCTTTGAGTGAAAATGAAAGACAAGATTAAAATTATCGGACAATGAATAATTAAATTGATGAACGAGACTCACATGCTTTTTCTCAACAGACAATGGAATATTTTCCCTGGAGTCCGTTTTCCGGAGCTTCTTGCTCTTCTCCTCTTTCTCGCCCTCACGATTTATCTCACGTTTATTGCTCTCCTCCTTATTGGGCTGCTCGGGCGACACACCTTCCTTATCTGCAACTGAAACAAATTCACATGTTCGATCGATTATTCATATCCTCTTCATCATGCTAATCCAGTAATTCGAGGGATAATTTACTTTTAATTTCAGTGTCGCTGCGCATAGATGTAGAGTCATCTCCGAGTTGGTCCAGCTCCAGGGGTAGCTGCGACGTGCGCTGCTCCTGAAATAACAATTCCAGATCAATTCTCGAATTTTCAAAAATATCCAATCCTCGATTACAACGTGAATCAACGAAAATTAGTGCTAAACGCAAAATACACTACATACAATAAATGGTGGTGAAATAAAAGTGGAGAAAAATAAGTTGTACATTGTAAATTATTAATTTTCATGAGTAAATGAGAATGTTCAAATATTTTTTGCAATTTTTTAACAATGCCTTATTAAAAAATTGGAATGCGTGAAAATCCGCAGGAGATTCACTCCTTCAAAATAAAATCATTCAATCGAAAGCATAATTGGGTTTTCAGTAAATTAATCAAGTGTTATCGTGATAATTTTGTTTTTAATGAAAAAAATTCTAAAACGTGTAAAAAAATCATGAAAAGTGTTGTCACAAGAATAATCTATTTAGTTTTGAAATTCATCAGTGAAAAAAAAATTTTAAAGTGCTCAGTATTACTGTAAAGTCTTACTCAATTGGAAAAAAAAATAACCATCAGTCCCTCGTCAATAATTAACCACCGAAACTACTGACCTGACCCTCGATCGGGTGATGGGGCTGGCGAGGCCCAGGAGAGCCGCATGCACAGCCAAATATCAAACGTTACAACATTCACATAAAATCCACCAAAATTCCACAATTCTCCATCGAATAAATAACCAAAGAAAAAATCAACTCCCCAAAATTAAACCATGTCCGCCAAATATCTCCGAATCCACCAGAGATATCAAAATTATCATATCCACCTTTTCTGTCCACCTCCTCACGCTCTCCGAAAAAGGTTCCAATAAAAATAACGCTATCTCCCTCGGATTCCGAAATATTCCTCGAAAGCCAGAACAAATCCCCCAACTGAACATCATAACAGTATAATTTATCTACTTGCATGACCTTTGATTCAACAACATTATTAATAACAATAAAAAAAAACATATATTTAAATCTCTCTTACACCACAATGCACATCGAGAACATCTGAAGGTAGAAATTCCTCAAAAAAATCAATGAAAATATCTGTCCAAAGTAAATTTAATCAATGAAAACCTCCAAGACAAGGCGTTGTAACGTAGTAAAATGGTTTTTTAAATAGGGATGCTATGTATTGTTGTCGCGGGAGCAGCTTACCAATCCGCTGATACTGTTCCCTGTGTTTTTTCGCCTTTTTGGCCTTCTATTAATTGTGCAAGCGTGGAAAATAATTCACGTAAATGATTAAACTTTCGCCTAGTGCTCCAACAAATCATCAATAATTCCCACGATTTATCAATTATTATGTTATTTATCCTCCCTAACATGCTGACGATGCAATGATCTACACGTTCTGCATGTTCAGACATTGAGGGAATAAAAATAAGAGGTGTAGGTTGGATCGAAACGATCGTTCAACCCCTGGGAAAATGACAGAACGTGCAAGAGGCGTGATTATTGTCTCCCTGGGGTGTTATTAAGGATTTTTAAGATTCTAATTGATAGATGACAATGAATTATCGTCTCTAGGTTGTGCACGAGAATTAGAGTGGGACTTACTTCTGCCTCATCGTCGACGAGCTCCTCCTCGACGACATCTGCTTTGTACTCCAGCAAGAGATCTCTGATGGACTTTGAGTCGAGACTTCGGTTCACGAATGGATGCTTCAAGAGTTCATCAGTCGTTGGTCGGGATGCTGGATCTTTTACCAGGGCTTTGGCTATGAAGTCGTTGAAGTCTTTGCTCCATTTTCCAGGGTGCTCCAGCTTCGGGGGATCGCTCTTCTGGATTTTTAGGAGAACTCGCATCGGCGACATCTCGTGATTCGGGGGATCCATCTGGGCGAATTCTATCAGGGTTATACCCAGGGACCAAATGTCCACCTGAAAGTCCAGGGAGAAATGTTTTTTTTTCAAGGTTGAAAGAATTTTAATGGAAAAAGTTGAATTTTTATAGGAATATTTTTTGTGAAGCTGATTGAGAGCTACAAATATAGTAAGAAGAAAAATTTCAATTGTCGACCTAGATTCCGAGATATTCATTGAAAAGTAAAAACTGGGAAAATTTGTAATTCAGGATTTACTCGAAATTGAAAAGAAAACGATTGAGAAATCAAGTTCAATCGTTAGAAATTCTCGTTTTCAAATGTCTTGGATTAAATGCACTCCGTAAATGTTTTATTCAGAGGAATCGAGAGTTTCACTGGCTTTCCAATGGACTCACTTTCATCGGCATTCTTCTAATCCTTCAATCGATTCAATTACAAATCACTGACCTTGAAATCGTAGGGATTATCCCGGAACGTTTCACATAGGACAACTTCCGGTGCCATCCAGTAAGGAGTGCCGATAAAGGTGTCGTGCTTCTGCAGAGTGTGTTTATTCTTCGCAGAAACTCCAAAATCAGCTGCAATCATAAAAACCCAATGAATCGATGATGCCGTTTATGCCATGAAATCGGATGATGAGGTCAGAAGATATTGAGAATTAATCTTACCCAATTTGACTCCACCAGCCATAGTGAGGAGAACATTTCCTGCCTTGAGATCCCTGTGGATGACCCTGGCCTTGTGGAGAAACGCCAGCCCCTCCGTCATCTGTTGACATACATAAGCAATCTGGGGCTCAGTGAGGGGTTTCTCCAGCTCTCCCATGATAGAATCGACAGCACCTCCATCGCAGTACTCAATCAGCATCCAGAGTTTTCCATCATCGAAATACGCCTCATGGAGTTCCACGACATTGGGATGCTTGAATTCCGAGAGAATGTCAATCTCAATCATGAAATCACTGAGATCATCCTCACCCTCTAGTGCACACATCTTGGCAGCAGCCAGCTGCTGCGTCTGCTTGTTCTGGGCTTTATAAACTCTACCAAAAGCTCCATCTCCAAGTTCTCCAACCATTTCCCAGAACTCCGTGGGATCACAGTCCATTTTGATGTTGTTGTAGAGCTTCTTCTTCTTGGCGTCATTGCCACCGAAGTGGAATGCCTTCTTCAAGTTCGACAGGAATGACATTTTTATTCTAAATTTTTATTATTTTCCTCAGTCAAAAATGATTGCAGTCTTTTAACATTTCTCTATTTCCGGAGGATTTAGACCCCAGGGGACCTGGGGATCACTGAGGATATCTCCCGCATTTTTATTTTTTTGAGGATTCAGATGTCGGGGCAGCTCATTGGTGATGATGGCGAATTTGGCAACGAGTCCATCGCGAGACTTCGGGGAACTGGAGCTCGAGATCCTGAAAGAGAGTAATAGAATTTTTAGAAATTTTCTACAATTTTAAAAAACGAATCACGAAAAATTGGAAAATTAATTGAATGAATTGAATAAAAAAATCGAGAAAATGATTAATCACTCTGGTAAAATCTCAATAAAACCCAAGAAAATATAATAATAATCTACCAATGAATTAAACATTCACCTCGATTCAAGATAAATATTGTATCACGATCGAATGAATTGATAACGGAAAAGCAGAAAATCGTGTGAACATGAAAAATGACATCACAGTTGAATGAACTTTTTGTGTCAACAGGTGAATGAAGAATTCACCATAAAATATCCCTAGACTCACGGCTAACTCTCGGCCACAGGCAATAGCTGTATTTGAATTCCATCACCAGAGAAAACTGGGACATGCCCAGAGCAACATTCCAATGGAAAAGAGCGAGACAGTATTATTTTCCGCCAATGAAGAGGCTAAGTAAAAGTTCCTATCAAAAACGGAAGGGGAAGACTGTGGAAAGTCCCTGGACCTCACCCATCAATCCAACAATTAAAAGAATACTTTAAAATCGCCCGATTCCTTCACGTGCTCCTATCACTCTCGATAACGATACGACAATCCGATAAGGAGATTAAACAATAAGACCTGATATAATTCCCTCTTTCATAACGACACCATGAATCACCTCAATGAATCCACAAATTACTCATTCCATCGGACAATACAAATATTTCCTTATAGAGTCTTAACATTAATCGTTAATCATCAGTAATAGTTCTGCTCATTACTAAATAAAAGCCATCGATTGGTGATTATTAAGAGGAGTATTGAGTGAGTTCGTCATTGCGTCTCTTTATTTCTTCAGTTAGAATTGTTTCTTCGTTGTTATTTATAATTGGAATCGTTTGAGTAAAAAAGTTGAGGAAATTGGAAATTTTTAATGATAAAGTGACAGGAATTTTTTGTAGAATTCATAATTGATAAGTCATTTATTGTTCAATTTTATATCAGTTTCCAGATGACCCTGTGACAGCAATTACAAGACATATTTAATAGTAAATTAATATTGTGACGTCTGTTACTTAATGGACATGTTATTCATTAAAATTGAGAGCATTGTCTATGACTTGTCTAGAAGTAAAAATATAAAAAACACATCGAGAAAATAAAGTGGTGTGTTGAATTAGCCAAGTCCTCAAAATTAATTCCCTCGATAATAATAAAAAAAACTGAAGGCCGAAGTGTTGCCTCGATAAACTTGAGAATTACATAACCCGGAGATCAAGTTCCCGGGATAAATAAATAAACTCACCGCTACCCGGTCCCGATTAAAAAATATATCATGTGGGAATATTTTTTATTTATATAAAACATTCAGAAATTCATATTAAAAATTTTCTATTATTATACGGACTCCAAATATTTTTAATTGAGCAATTATAAAATATTGAAAAAAATTATGAACATTGAATTCTTTGAATAAAAATAAAGTTTTCACTTTTTTTTTTATTTGCGGGACTCAATTTCTTTAAAAGTTTTTTTTTTTTAATTCGAAATCTTTCATTTAACATTTTACCATTTTTTTAACTAGCCATTTCTCTCCAGAACTATCGATTTACAGTGAAAACGGTAGAATAGTTTTTTCTAGCGGATTAAATTCCCGAAATACGAAATCTTTTGACATTTTCTCACAGACCCAATACTTTCCAAGATAAATCGTTATTCAAAATCTCAAACTGAACATTCCACTTTTATATTAACATATCCCAAGATTTCGCATATATTTTTTGTTATAAATAAATAAAATGGGTGAGCTGATCCTATTTTCTACACATTTTTTGTATCATTGATGTTTCGGTGGAGTGAAACGTTTTCAGGCGCAAAAACTGTTGGAGACATAAAAAAATAGGACAAGTGCTCCAAAAAAAGTCAAAACAAATAATGAGAGAATAGTAAAAAAACGAAAAAAAGGGTATTCTGGAGTTTAGCCGACAATTGCGATCAGTTCACTGACTCACCCAACAGTGATGCCATATTCTCTTCCAACTGGTGTGCATCCCAGTCCTAGCGAGAATGATCAAGCACCGTAACGCATAATTAAGACACAACAAAGTAACGATAGTCGATGACTGCCATAAACGTCACACGTGACCAATCCTCATCCAAAAGAAAAAAAAAGAGGACAAAAAAAAAGAGATGCGAGTAAAACCTCTGCCACACGCGTAGGAAAACTGCAGAGCAATTAGACCCGATGACAGATTAAAAAAAATAATTAGTAAAAAACAGAACAGAACAGGTGAAAACAACTGGACTATTTGACATCATCACCATCTCCTATTCAAATTTCTCCTTTCTCCTCCTGACGACCTCAACATCCCAGGAAAAATCCCATCACGAGGTAAACAGAATGATTTTTTGTCGAGGGGACGACGGGCGCGTCCTCTTGCTCCAATAAATCTTCCAATCCCTGAGGACGACCCCACCTTCCTAATGAGGTTATTTAATCGATGGCTAAATAACACCGATGGCAACCAGATAGATTTATCGATAAAAATGTGAGGAATGTGAAAATTGAGTGATTGAAAAAATTGGGATGGAGTACTCGCCTCGTCTGCTGTTTGTTCAGAGGAGACTTCCAGCTTTCACTGCAACAAAAATCCAGCACTTTTTTTTTTTTCACTGAGAAAATTCTGTCACCACTTGGACACTGTCACTCTATTTAATCATCCAGGGGGCTTGATTTTTTTTTATTTGTCGGGGTTATCTGTGAGATTATTTCGGTGGATCACCGGTGAATAAGACTGACTACTGTTGCATGTCTGATCTGTCTGGTGTCGCGGCCATTTTAATTTTGCACACACGAATGTACCACCACGCCTCTAGGTTTTTCTTTCAGGGAATAGACGACAGGGGGCTATTTTTCAGGTTTTTCCTGGTTTTATTTTTCCCAGTGGATTTTCCTACTTCCTGATACCTCCTAGACGTCGTAAATTCTCGTGAAGTACCTGGAGAGAATCAAGTGAATTGGGGGAATTCGATTAGGAGCTGGGCAGAGGGAGAGGAAGACCTCAAGGTGTTAATCCTATTCCGGAGGGAAGCGGTTAGTCTTTGAGGTTCAAAAGGCATTTCTCGATATTGGTTCGGTGAATTTTTGTGTGATTTTTTAGGGCTCAAGGGAATTTTCAGTAGTGAATTTCGATAATTTTTCTTTCGTTTTAAAGGGAGATGTCATGGTTTAAAATGAGAAATCGTGTCGTTGGGTCAAGAGATATTTACCATTTTATTGGATTATTTTGTTGCAGGGGCTGTTTTGGTTTTTGGATTTTGAGCCTTTCTTGGGGATCAGGATGACGAAGGAGAGGAGAATAGTTGTTGAGATCTTCAGGAACTTCATAGCCTCCTTCAAACCTCGGATGAGCCGCATCAAACTCGTGGGTGAGGATTACCACGGTACGAAGTACTACGAGGATCCAGAGGCGAAAGCCAGGAAGGGAAGGAGTTTCATTCCGAAAGATGAAGAAAACTTCGAGCAGGAAATTCCTGCTGAGTGGGAGGCCTGGCTCAGGTACAGAAGACACCAGCCCCCCACCCAGGAAGAAGTTCAAGCTAATTACGAGATGATGATGATGAAGAAGAAGAATGCAGCTGCCCTGGAGAAACATTATGCTGAGGAAAAAGGAGTCAGTGTAGACCCTCCCAGGGAAAAAACTGGATTTGAAAGCTTTCCCAGCTATGAAGAATACAAGGAATATGGCCATGCTTACCTCGAGGATAAAGAGGGAAAAAAGAAATAGTGTGACTAATAAAAAATTAATAAATAATATCAAAGTAACGAAGCGAGTTGAAATCGCGATACGTAAATCATTCTACCTTCGCAATTATCTCAAGAACTATCAATCCAACGTGGAAGCATCAGAGGACTTTTTTCTAACTGAAAAAATTTCCTCCGGGAAAGGCCTTTTCATATTTCCTCCTGAAATGGATAGTTTTCGAGATAAATTCATCATTAATAAAAACGTCTGAAGTCCTTCACCCAGTTTTCCTCCAATTAAATCACACGCTGTATTATAAAAATTGTAAATATTTATTATAATAGAATGAATTTACTACAATGACCTAATTATCTTGACCGTTCTCTCATCGCACAATTGCTGAACAATTTAATATTCCAGTTTCATTAATTTTACGATTGATATTAACCCTTGAGTCACTTGAAAAAAAGAATTACAAGGTACAGATCTAGTCCATTCAAGATACATTAACGTGAACATCTCATTTGATATAGAATTCTCATTACTGGGGCTCAGTAAGAGGTTACATTTAATCTTGTTTATGTTCTTCACAGGTCGGATTCACCCGGATTTATTCGTCACTTTATTCGGGATGTTTCTTCCATAGGAAAAACATTGTCAACTATAACTAATGGGGATTTGGGGTTCAGCCAGAGTAATCGTGGTGATCGAACAGGGCTTGATCGTACAGTTCTCCCTTAACTAATCGTCCACCGAAATAACGACCATTCAGAGAATCTCGGGCTCTCTCTGCCTCTGAAAATAAAAAAATATAAAAAATCATTACGATTTTTTATGAATTGTTCCCGCTATTTGAATTCCAAAAATTAATTTTAAGACTAAAACCAAAGATTTAATGAGAAATAAAAAAAAGTAAGGAATTGAATCATTACGGATACATAATTAAATGAACGTACCACTCATCTGTGAAAACTCGACAAAAATTTTCACAATGACCTCAGCATCCTCGTCGTCCTCGGACTGTCTCTCATTATAAATTACAACTCTATCGACAACTCCGAATTTCGAGCACTCATCTTGAATTTCCTCCTCGAGGCTCTCGTCAACATCTTCTGGAGCAACCATATTCCGGAGAATTACCACCCGAGACTCAACCTTCCTCATCAGCTTCTGCATAACGAGATGACGTGCACTCTGGCCCTTTATCGACATATTCTCCTGTTGCTGAAGGGTCTGGGGCTCAGTCTCCTCCAGGAGCTTCTTCTGGAGCTCCTCCTGTTGCTTCTGGTGGGCTGCCTGCTCCTGGGCACGTCTGGTGATGTCTGCCACTGGGGGAGTGCTCACAGGGATCTGGAATCCATTTTTTATCTCAACTTTTCATTATGTTCAACATTAATTATCAATTATCTTGATTTCTGCCTTAAAAAAAAATACACTGGATTGCACAAATTTTTCTGAAAAATCAGAGGAATTTTCAATTACCGCTGGTGCAGCAACGACTGGAGGCACCACTGCAGCAGGTGGAATGATGACAGGCTGTCCTGGAATTGGCTGAATGATCGCTGGAGGTCTGGCCAGGGTCTGGGGGATTGCGATTCCAGGTGGAGGAATTATTGGAGCCACAGTGGCAACTGTCGGAGGTGCCATTGCTGTCGTAGGTGTCACTGTCGGTCTCACGATGCCTGGGAGAGCTGTGGGAACAGGTGAAATAAAATAAAAATTGACGAGAATTAATTCGAATGATATAACTCACTGGTATTGAGAATGGGCGATGCACTTGTTCCCAGTTTAGTGAGTCCCAGGGCGACAGCATTACTGGCAACAGCATCCATGGCTTGGATTTTGGCAGTAGCAGCAGCAGCTGCCACAGCAGCAGCTGTTGGCATCATACTGGTACCACTGGGTGGTCCCATCAGTGCATTGGGTGGAGTTATTGCTCGTCCAACTCGGAGATACTGTCCACCTAAATCAAATAGATTCATCGAGGAAATGGCCTCGAGGGCGGACTGCATTGTCTCGTACTCGATGAAACCGTAGCCCTTGTGTCGGTGGGGTGAACTACCTTGGGCCAATTTGCAGTAGGTTATTGGGCCAAATGCCTCGAAAACGGATTTAATGTCCTCCTCGGTCAGGTCCTGGTGGATCGAGGCGATGTAGATCCGGTTGTAGTGCTTACTCTCTTCTGTTATTTCGTCGATCACTGACTGCGCCTGGGGCATATTGGAGGGACGTCCCACTACCTGTAGAGAATTTATAATTTTTTATTCATTGATTTTTCCTTATTTCTGCTGCTGCGGAGGTGTCAGGGAAAATTTTGGAGGTATAGCGGCGATTTCAAGGTCATGGAAGAGGATTTTTTTCTCGTGTTCTCAACGGTCAAATTTACGATTTTTGGAGAGGGAATGTGAATTTTTTCAAAAGTCAATTTCATATCCACTCGCCTCCCAGATGTCAATAAAAGTCTCAAAAAATAAAATAATCTAAAAACGAAAGTTTCTTTTTGTCCCAGCACGGAGGAAATTAATTTTTTATTTAAATAATCATTTTTTTCTGAGGAGAAACATTGAATTTTAATAAATTGTGTGGAATGAGATAAATTGTGAGAATAGTAAATGATGCAGACCTCGGGAGATAAGGAAGGATCTCGGGATGTTGGAGGGATGGTGATATGGGTACGTCCAGCTACCTTGATATTCCTCCCCCCAATCATAACTCCATTCATTTGCTCTAAGGCGAGTTGTGCAGCCTCTGGTATCTCGTACTCGACAAACGCAAATCCCTTGTGCTTCTGCGTCACTGGGTCCCACGACATGTTGATGGATTTAATGGGCCCAAATGGTAGAAAGGCCTGACGAATGGTGTCCTCTTTCAGCTCGAAACTTATACTCCCCACGTAAACCCTACATTATTGTATTTAAAATTTATTATTAAATAAATAAATCCTAATCCAGTCATTCATAAACTCAACAATTTTTACAAATTTCATTAAATTCTCCAGTTTTGATTTGATAGAAATTGATAGACAAATCGAATTAATATAGTTCTTCGAAAACTTCGGGGAGAATATTCTTGAATTTCTATAGAATCTTGAAATTTTGTAATTCACTAAGAAATTCGGCAATTTTTTGTATTAATTGTAAAAGTGTAAGTGAATTTTGGAAATTAAAGAAGAAAATATAGTGATTGCTTCGAGTAGAGAGTACTGAGTTGAAGAAGATGAAACTGCTTTTTTTTTGCATCCGATTGGTCGGTACTGTATCCATGAAATAAAATAATTCATCACTGCTCAATGTTTTTAATTCTTGAGATTTTCAAAAATCCGTTATTTATTGGTTATTATCTTCCAAATTCGGTGGATTATGTGTGAGGAAAAAATTTTTTCATAAGATTCCATCGAATTTTTAAAGTGCCTGCAATCGACCAGTCGGCAGCGTATTGCTAATTCATTAGCAGGAATAATTATACTTTAATGAAAGAGTAATTCTCCACTTGTTTTTTTATACTTGAAGCAAAGAACAAACAAACCTGCACATGAGGGCGAGAGCCTGCTGTCTCTGCACCTGATTCCGTTGACTAGCCATTTGCTGCAACACAAAGGACCATAGGCCTTCCATTGGTATCCCCCCAATCTCATATTCTTGATATTCAATAGGATTGTCTCGTTCACATCTCAGGTTTTTTCCCCATTAAAGAAAACTACTGTGATCTTCAAATTCCATGTGCTCCGCAAATAACAATAATAATTAGATAAACTAATAAAATTAATGTAACATAAATTAAAAAATTTCATGATAAAACGAAATTTTTTCCATTTTATGATTCGAATTGATTTGAATTAATTGGTACTCCATGAAATTGAAGTTCAGAGTAGTTTCCTATTAGAATGAATAACTACTTGATTCGCCAAGGTACAACTCCGAGTAATGAATTATTTAAAAGAAAGGGTTATAATCTGTACTTTTTGTGGTCGTCCTCCAGTTCATGCAAGGGTACAGCTCAGCTCCCGCCGACAACAATATTATAAAAAAAAA